AAATTCGTCAGTTTCAACAAGCAGTTCTTGCTCAGGAAGCAGTTCTGAGGCTATATTAGACTTCGAAAGTTCGGATGKTGAAATTAAGCCTTASATGTTTGAGCCAGATGCCTCTGRTCAGTCTGATTCTCAAGAAAACTCATCAAATTCTGAGGATGATGTGAATGAGAATCGAACTACAAACAATGATTGGTGTCATTGCGGTTTTTGTCAAAGACARGATACGGTGAGAGAGTGTGTTTGCTGCCAGGAGCTGGGAAATGTGGTGGATAGRAACAGRATGTCRTCGAGGAAACGAAATTTAAGCGAAATACCGGAGTGCATCACATCAAATCCAGGTTTTTTGTCGGTGTGTTCTGACCCAGATGTTCTAGAGACGGCCTGGTTTGCCTACAAACAGCAATACGGTGAAGCTATAGATGATCAGGTGTCAGAGCACAAGCGGCTTCGACACATTGCCTACAGACAATTTGTACGATGGTGCTGGGGCTGGTTGGGTAGACATATTAGAGTGGTTTTGCCATCGTGTGTCGTTTCGTGTATAAGAGCCCATTTCCCGCCTCCTGGCTTAGAAGAGGACTTTCACTTTGAAGGATTTCATGACTCTTGACTGTTTATTTTCCGGTTAATTTTGACGTGGCTTTTTGTTCGTCTGAAACACATGAGAATGATTTTACTCAGTGATATGGTTGCTCACAATTGTAAGTATCAAATTAATTACTTGACTCAGAAATTGTATTGAATAAATGCTTTCAGTGAAATTTTGTAAAGTTGTTGATTTTTAAAAGCTTGATTTTGTATACCTCATTTTTTTGAAAATCGTGAACTGTGTTCATCTACTGCCTCTAGTTTAATGGGGTGGCTATAAGTATGACAAAGAGGTGGAGGTGGAGTGATATGAAGTACTTGATCCTCTTGTTCTCTTCCAAGGACATCATACAATTCATTGTAGAGTTTATCAACATATTCTGTAAATGGAATTAACTTTTTTTAATTAAAACAAAATGTTATAAAATCCTCTTATTAAAAAAATATATTTGCATTGATCAACAAAATCATGTAGATAAGCTTATGGAAGAAATATACAATTAAATATTAGTATTTACCATATCTGCATTCAACCAACTCTTTACGCACTGTGTATTCCCCTTTCTTATACTTTGGAAAATGTATGCTATACTTTAGTTGTCCTTCTTTGGTCAATGCTTGTTCGCGGTTATTGTTTTCATTAAAATGTAGAGCTGCTAACTGTAACCTATCAATTTAACAAAAGATAAATATTTCATTTCATTTGATTKCAGATATATATTTTAGATATTGGTACAATACCTGCATTTCATTGAGTTATAAGAAAAGTGCACCATTTTAGGTGCAAAATGGTTTAAGAGACTGTGGAACCCTTCAATCGCAGATGTTTGGCCATAAGGTGACAATTTTTTAATGTCATTCCTTAACCTTGTCTTTTCAAGGATATCTGTGAGACTCACTGTGACTTCATCTCCTGAAATTATAAATCTAGCTTATAAAAGATGCAAACAATGCTTTCCATCGCTTTTCAGAGTCGTTAAAATGATTGATTAACAACATAATTGATTACAGTGTGCATCATAAACTATACACATAATGTACACCTGGTTTGAACCACTTTCTCTTGACMTTTGAATGAGTGCACTTTCTGTAAAGCTTATTGGGATGTCTTGCATGCCTATTTTGTAAGTGCCCAGCCAATGACTCCCACTTCGCTAAAGCTAGATCTCCATCATCACCATTACTATGAAAATGACAATTTTGTTTCTCATATTTTACTAGTACTAATTT